TCCTAGATTATTGCTTATGTTAACATAATTTTAGCACAAGCACAAACCCATTCTTAGAATCTCTTTCCTCAGCTCTTTCCCCCAGCTTTTTATTGAGAAATATCCAACAGTTCTTAGTAATCTTCTATAATACTCACAACGCCAGGTATCTCACAGGCTGTTTCACGGCTGTTTTGTTCTGGGCTGCAATAAATCCTTAGCTTTTGGACATCAAACTGTAAAGCAGAAATTAACACATTCCTTAGACAAGTATTTCTTATGGCATCTTATTAAGAGGTCTTTGTGCAGCCAAAAAGTTCATCATTATCTGGTCCTCCCCCAGAGTCAGTGACAGTGACAGAATACACTGTTGGGGTTTCAATGGGCTTCATGGGGAGGTGATGGACATCAACTGAGATGATGTGATCCCATTCCTGGTGATCACTTCCCAAGTGCTACCCAACAATGTCAGTTTTAAGAACTGCTTTGGATAAATGGGAAGAGGAGGGAACAAATAAAAAAGTCCCACAAAAATGTCTGTTTGGTGTAATAGTTAAGACACCAGGCCAAAACGTGAGAGACTGTGGGTTCTAGTCCCACCTTAGGCACTAAGCCAGCTGAGTGACCGTGGACCAGTCACTCTCTCTCCACCCTTGGAAGGAGGGAACCGCTTTTGAAAAATTTTTCTTTGCCAAGAAAACTGCATGGACTTGTCTCCAAGAATCACACATGATCGAATAGAAAGAGAAAATAAACATAGAAAGCCATACACTTTTAGAAATGATGGGGTTGCACTATTTGTTTTGACCAAACAATGCTTAGTAGAAGATACAATTTAACAGCAAATTAAAAGATGCCTTTTAAAACAGGTTGATTTGCTGGGACAAGCAGCAGCCTATTGATTGAACCCGATTAACAATGACCAGCCTGAAAATTACTGAACAAAAACAGATCAATGAATACATTGTTAAAGAGGCCCATTCGGCAGATCTCTACATTCTACCACCTCTACCACTTTCCCAAATTCTTTGCAGAAGCACTTTAGTTAATTTTCTTCTAAGCGGATTAAAAGGGGTGCTTGCAGACTTCACCTATTTTGCTGCTGAATTTTATATGTCTAATCCCAGGAAACTAGAAGGCCATAAATGGGGTTGAGGTCACATAGCACACAGGCCTTGAGCTGTGTTCCTCTTCACTCACAGAAGTCACTCCTAATTTCTTTAGCAAAAGTACCTGATTACTGTTAAGCCCCCCTAGGCATAGTACATTCTGGATCAGAAGACCTACCAGCCCTCTGGAAAAGCTTTCGTAGATAGCAGGGTCTTAAACAGGTTTAAAAAAAAACCCAGCAGCAAATAGATACTGGTATTAACTTGAATAAAAGTGCCCTTTACTAAGTCAAAGCCACCAATGAAAGTAACTCATTCACTGCAGAGTCTGTTAATTTTACCTGGCCTAATTTTAAGCTATGAGATCAGGTTATTATACTAATGTGCATAGATTTATCTCTGTTTCATAAAACACTGCAATCTGAACCAGTGTATACCTGCACAGTCTCTTCTTTTCCTGTATATTTTCCTATTTGAGTCACTCCACTAATATAGATTCCTGCAACAGGATGCAATGGCTTCGTTTCGGTTTCTTGACCATCTATGTACAACGTTACATCAACTTCAGTTACTAAAAGACGAATTTGATGCCAGCCTTGATCAAACAATGTCTAGAATAGAGAATAGTAAATGTATGTATGACTCTTTGTCTGTATAGAACAGTCATTTTCCTATACCTTAACTGATTTACATGCTTTCGAGACATACACGGTCATTCATCTAACCTTGAAGCATTATCAATTGCTACAATTTAATATTATAGCCCAATATTCATGGTAAAACCTAACAGAGGGATTCAAAATATTTTTTTCTAAAAAATACATCCTTAATATTGGCAATCAATATATTGCAGTTGTGCCAAGTGGTGCCTATGTGGAAAAGAGAATAGGCAGACCATAACATATCCATCTTCTTTAGAAAATGTTTGTACATTGGTTTTGAAAGAGTAGCCTGACATTCTTTGCTAAAGGCCTTCAGGGACCATAGAATGAATCTATAATAGTAATAAGGGTGAGAATTTAACACTCTCCAAATGTTACAATAGTACCCCTCTCAGTATTCCAAGTCAGGACAAGCAATAGTGAGGGGGTGCTAGGAAATGTGATTCAATACTATCTGGAGGATGCTGTCCATGCCCATTCAGAGGTCGTCTTCCAAAAAGCACCACCTTTTTATGACCTATCGCACAGAAACTTGAATCTAGGTCCTAGTCCAATATGTAAAACCAAAGTTAAACTATGTTACCAAAATGCCTGGGTAAAGGCTGCTGCATAAGCCTGGAATGAAAAGACATCTATGTCACATCAAACATGCCACCAATTACAAGTGGCACTGACCTATCTTTGTTTAGCCAATAAATAAAAGTGTTCTAAAGATGGACAATGCTCCCAACCTTGAGACAGCATTCATTTATATACTTTAGCCTCAAACCATTAAGGCTTTTAGATCAGTATGAATAGTTATGATTTGGGTCTGGAAATGGACATTTGGACAAAGTAAAAGTAAATTTTGGACAAAGTAAAATTTCCAATTCCCCTTCAAAAATAGCTGTTGCATAAATTCCAATTGAGAATTATTAATGTAGTCAATACAACAGATGTTACAAATTAGCCATCTGACCATATCAAAGTGCTATTTAAAAACTACAGAAAAACATGGGACCTTTTCATAATAAATTGCTACTCCCCATTGCCATTTAGTCAGCCCCATTCTGTTCTAGGTAGCCTCTTCTCTTCAGAATAGTCTCTGATTGTAAACCAATCTATATTTAGCTAGTGCTAAAGTATCATCTTAACACTCTTCAGATAGGTTGAATACTAAATCTATATAGCAATCCTAAATCAAAGAGATGTTTTAGGCAGTCATTGAGGTCACCTGTGCCTTTAATAAAAATGATGCCTCCCAGAAAATATCCTTACGCTTTACCTGATCCCATAAGATTGAACAATATCTTCCAGAATGCAATTGCAAACATGGGCCTAAATTTAGGTTGAATTGGATCTGAAATATTGAATCTCCTGGCATTTAAACACATAATATGGATCAGGTTATCTGAGGGATCATCTCCTGCTGGTCACATCTACCTGACCCACTAGAGCAGGGAGGCAAGAATGCTGCGGGTCCCATCCCCTAGGGACATACACCTGGTGGGATCCAGAAGAAGGACCTTCTCTGTGGTGGCTCCCTCTCTCTGGAACATCATTCCCCAGAGATTAGAATGGCCCCCACTCTAACACTCTTCCAGAAGGCACTGAAGACCTGGTTTTGCCAGCGGGCCTGGGGAACCCAGAGCAGAATGGAGCCCATTAAATGGCTTGTGTGATGTGTTATCACCGGGGTGATGGGGGGGGGAGTTATTATATTATTTTATTATGTGATTATTCTCTTTTGTTAGTTTTACTGTTTTATATATGAGGTTTTATATTCCTGTAAATCGTTTGAGTCGCCATGTGCAAATAGACGGCAATATAAATTTCCTAAAATAAATAAATAGTATAGTTGTAGATTTTTCCAATTGATACATGATGTGCTCTTTACCTTTACACGGGGTGCAGTAAAAGTAACAACCTGATTGCCATTGGCTAGGTTTGTTGTAGTAAAGGATAATGTTTTCTTTTCTCCGATTACAGTAACAGCTATTTGCGGTGTTCCATCTTGGCTTAGAATCCTCCACAAATCCCATGTTTTTTTTACTTTAAATCGCTGTGTAGATACAAATACATATGATGGAGGAAGGCCTTCTGGAAATACATTTCTGAAAAACATTTTTTTCAAAAATTAAAACATGAAATAATTTTAGAATTACAAAAAAATGTATAATAAATACACACACACACACACACACGAAATGAAAAAGTGGCAAACTTTGATAAGAACTTTCAGCTCAGAAGAAAGAAGTACCTTGTCAATCCTGTCAAATCAATCCGGGAAGTGATTTCATAAGCTTTTACATTAGTGCTTGGAATCTGAATTCTTTTCTTCACCTTTTTTTTAACATCTAAACCTAAAAGGATATCAAATCCTTTTTCATCCCGAGATGCCACTGGAATTCTTGTTGGGCAAACTGATTCTATAAAGAATACACAGAACAAATCACTCGCAAATGAAGTAATAAAGTAGTATATAACATTAAACACAAAATAGGAAAACTTTTTGTCTTGCATCATGGTAAATAATTGCATTTTTTGGACTGGATGGCTGGGAAATGACCTAAAAAACCTTTTTTAAACATGAAAAGTTCATTAATGATAATCATGTTCTTATATTACTTTTTTTTTCCCCTAGTGGTAAATTCTCTTGAATTCTTGATACTACTCTGCTGTGTTCAGTATCAGTCAACACTTTCGGATAGTGCACTATATATCAAAATATATTTATATTTTCACATAAGTGGCAGAGACATGTACCATAATTACTATGGAGTAGAGTGGGCATGGAGTGTGTGTACATGTGTGTGTGTAAGCCAGCCATTTGATGTGAAATATTTTTCAATCTAGTCCAGCAGCTCCCCGCGCTGGATTTTATTTGCATTAGTGGTGTTAAGCACAAAATTGACTTAAATTATGAGGAAGTTGCACACAATATTCTATTAGGTGCAACTTCCATAGTTTTCTGTATTGGGACAGTGAAAGCACTAAACAGAATAATCTGACATCAGCTACAGTTTGTTAAAAACTAGGGGCTTACGTTTTCCCTCCACCCTTTTCACAGAAAGGCGAAGACATGAGCCTGGAGTTAGCACTGGTGACTAAACATTGATCTTCTTTAGATCTGAATATTACCATTGTTTGCACATTCCTTATCTGGATGTATTCCTAAGTGAAGAAAGGGGAAACTTAGAGCTAGACTATTATTTTCTCTTCCTCCAACCTTAACAAACCTTTCTAACTGTAAATATCCTTTCCTTTATAGAACTTGGAAGAAGATAATCCTCTGCAGATCCCATAATGTAGATCTTCAATAAATTTAAAGGCAAGGAAATTATAATACCAGCAAGTAAGTCCACCTGCATTATATGAATTGTGGCTTGACATCTTTGCATCTCCTGAGCGTGCTTTGGGCCTGAAACTACTTTCATTCCGAACAAGCATGACATGCTTGTTAAAATATTCAAAGTTGGCAGACTACTGTTCAAAAAATTAAAATATTTTTTTTAAAAAGCACAATAATGGGCATTGAAACAGAATATTAAAGAGTTCTTAAAAAGAATGTGCCAATATTTCTTTTTACTGGTATAAATATATAACAAATGCCCATTTTAGCTTAGAGAAGGGGAAAGGAAATGGTTTCAATAGGAGAAGCAAAGGGAAGAGGTTAGAAAAATCTCATTCTGGGATATTATAAGACAGTTTCTCCCCTAAGATACAGCAACAGAATATTAAGGATTCAAAAGATCCGTTTAAAAAAAAAAAGCAAATCAAAATTGAAGGATGTTCCACAGGAAAAGCTCAGAGTGCACAACAATTTGTTAGTTCTGCAGAACTATACATGTTATAGGATACAGAATTTATGCAGCACTTAACAGAATATAAACTTTCACCTTGGCACAAGAGATTACATTCAGCAGAATGCAAAATCAGACCAACCAACTCTTTTCATTTCTTCCTATTGTGAACGGATCAAGGGACAATTTCTACAATCAGTTCCAGTAGCCATTTATTCATATAGCCGAAACACAATGAGTAGAAGCAATCACTTGAGAGCTAGAAGTGCACATAAGCTATTTGTGATGCAATCAATTTTAGTAAAGTATGTCATATCTGACAGCAATTTAAAAAATTATCCTGCAATATCAACCATCATCCAAATCCTCTAATCAAGGCAATGACGGTTAGATCAGAATATATTCAAAGAGGGATTGCTAATTCAAAGCAAGCAAGCTGATAATCAGAAGACTATGGCTACCATGGATGAGTTTCAGTATTAAGGACCAGTTCAATAACATCCAACAGCCTTGAAGGAACTTAGTAACATCATCACAGAGGTCCTTTCTATGATCTTTGAGAGATCGTGGAGGACAAGCGTAGTGATAGAAGGCCATCAAAGGGTAAATGTTCTTTCAATTTCCAAAAATATTAACTATAAACAACCAGAGATTATATGGACTGGATAGTATTAAAATTATTTAATAATTACATTTATTAAATCAATCACTTGAGAGCTAGAAGCACACATACATTATTTGTGATGCAATGAATTTTAGTCAAGTATGTCATATCTATAAGCAATTTTTAAAATATTCTGCAATATCAACCATCATCCAAATCCTCTAATGATCTATATAATCAAATTTATATAGCTGCCCATCTCACAAACCATGACTCTGGACGGTGTATAGCAATTGATTAACAATAAAATATATTTAATAAAGAAATAAGTGCAAATGCTTGCTATCAATATTAGATTATTAAGATGTTTGTAAACAAAGGGAAGGTATTGCTTAGCCATAACCAGCATTATTTTATCTAGAATAAATCATATCAAACCAACCTGTTCTTTTTTAATAGCATGATCAATGTAGTTAACTGTAAGAGTATGATAGACAAGTACATTGTGACCTTAAGGCTTTCAAAAAAGTGTGATACAGTATAAGGTACTAATAAAGAAGAAAGGAAAATATGGTTTGGACTTCACTACCATTGGATGGATAAAGAACTGATTGAATAATTGCATCTAACAATTGTATACCAACTGTTTTTCAACAAGTGAAAGTGTCATATGGTACACTGCAGTGCTCTAGTCTAGGCAATGTGCTGTTCAGTATACAATGATTTGGATGAGGGTTTAGAAAATATTTTTCAGATTTGCACTGATTTATACATATTTGCAAAAACACTGATCAGATTTGTAGAAGGCTCATAGATGGATGAAGACAGTAACATGACTCAGAAGGATCTTATAAACCAGAAACCATTCGTGTGAGTTTCAGCATGGACAAATTGCAAAGTCCTTCATTTGATTCAAAAAAAATCAAAGGCATGACTGTAGGATTGGGGTGATCATCTCAGGCAACAGTACAGGCAAAAATTATCTATGTGTCTTGGTGGAACACAAAATGAGTATAAGCCAAGAGAGTTGTGTAGCTGCAAGAAAAAGCAAATGCAGATCAACTCTATATCAAGCGAATCAAGATAAAAAGAAGATATTATATCTCTTCTGTATTATTCAGAAAACATGCAGTACATAAGATATCTAGTAGACCACTTAAATTGTTTGGCCCAATTACCCATTTTCCCAGACTCAAATAAGGTAATTAACCCCACGCTCACCCACACAAAACAAACTGTCTCTATTGAAGGCCTCATCAATGGCAATCCCAACTGAATCTTTGACTCAATACAAGCAATTATAAATAGCTCCATTATCTTCAAGATATGCCCAAATTATCCCCAGTTTAAGAGCCATTGATCTATAATACGGTGTTTAATTCTGGGCACTACAGTTTTGGAATAAAATGGAGTTTATTCCAAGGAAAGGAACCAAGAAAAGGAGATTGAAAGAAAAAATTGAGGTAGAAACTCTGGATATACAGTATGTCAGCTGGAGAAGAAAAGACTGCAAGAAGATATGCTAGGTGTTTTCAGAAAGCAAATAGATTTGCTTAGTGTTCTTCCAGAAGGCAAGAAACAATGACTTTACAATTGCAAGGTAGGAAATTTTATTGGAGAGCAAGAATTCCCTAACAATAAAAACTATTCAACAAAGAAGCCAATTGCTTTAGCAAGTGGTGCCCTCTCCTTCATAGCAGCTGTTTAAATAGAATCTGGATGGCCATCTCCAGTAGATGCTGGCACTGGAAAGAGGGGTGGACCAAAGCCCCTTCCAATGCTTACCTTTTATGTTTTATGAACTTTCTGTAATTAGCTTGGAAAATGAGTTCTCCATCCAATATTGGTTACGAGTTATGTACAGTTATAGATCATAGAACACAATTGCATGAAACAAATAAAAAAACCTTAACACAGCAACAACCACATAATAAAATAAAAATGAACTGTATCCAGTTAGGAATTAATCAAATAATAAACATTTTCATTAATAAACCTCATTCTTTCTTGTAACAATTACAATTGCACACATTTGGCAACTCCCTCAGTATTTCTAGAGACTGATCCAGAGCAAAAAAGAGGGAAAAATCTCAATCTAAAAGAAACATAAACATCATTTATACTGTAATATGTAAACCAATACTAGCTGAAACTTAAATGTGAATTCAAAGTACAATAAGACATTTTACAAACTAAATGTCACTATTACTTGTATGATATAAAGCATTTTTAATCTCAGAAGCAAAACTTTGTTTTTAGATCTAATATCTACATTAGATAAATATTTTTTAATATTTGACTTTGTTCATATAAATATTTTAAAACAATAGAATAAACAAGAAGATTTTGTTTCCATTAAATCTTCTTTTTTTTTAAAGAGAAAACTGGAAACAGTTTCTACATACAAACAGAATGGTACTAGCAAACTATATGCATGTTATTCATGGACTGTCTCTCAAGAATAAATCATAACAATAATAATTAAATACCATCTACATCCATATCACTTTGCAGAGGAATGTAAGCCATAACAAAAGAGTTGGAGGAAAGATTCTGCTCTAAATGGCTATCATCACAGCCCTCCAAGAAATACAAAATAGAACTTCACAATTACATCCTCTATAGTTTCTTAAAAGCATAAATGAGTTGGCAAGAAATAGACAGTTGTATTAGTACTATAGAATATTGTACTTAAAACTAATCACCAGGGAACATTCTCTTAAGGAATAATACAGGAGAGAACAGAATTTACTTTGACCAAAATTTAAGTTGATCATATGGTTTCGTAACTTCCGTTTATCTATTTTTTTAATATATACAAGAGCCGAGGTGGCGCAGTGGTTAGAGTGCAGCACTGCAGGCTACTTCAGCTGACTTCTGGCTGCAGTTCAGCAGTTCAAATCTCACCGGCTCAAGGTTGACTCAGCCTTCCATCCTTCCAAGGTGGGTAAAATGAGGAGCCAGATTGTTGGGAGCAATATGCTGACTCTGTAAACTACTTAGAGAGGGCTGTAAAGCACTATGAAGCGGTATATAAATCTAAGTGCTATTGCTATTGCTATATGCAAGCTGTAAATACTGAGCACCAGTGGTGGGTTTCAAAAATTTCTACTACCGGTTCTGTGGGTGTGGCTTGGTGGGCATGGCTTGGTAGAATACTATAAAATCTCCATTCCCTCCCCAATCCAGGGGAAGGTTACTGCAAAATCCCCATTTCCTCCTGATCAGCTGGGACTTTGAGGCAGATAACAGATGAGGGCAGGGCCAGTTAGAATTTTTACTACTGGTTCTCCGAACTACTCAAAATTTCCGCTACCGGTTCTCCAGAACTGGTCAGAACCTGCTGAAACCCACCTCTGCTGAGCACCTTTCATGTTGACTTTTACATCTTAAATTCATTTCTGTACATTTGAGATTATTTTTGCCAATAGCACTGCTCCAGAATCATTTGAAAAGATGTCAAGCGAACCCCTAAAGACTTCTAATATGCCATGTACAATTCAGAAAGGGTTTCTTTCATGAACAGAATGGAATCTCTGAGTCCCACCCAGCATGTATTGTTTTTGACAAATAAGATAAATAAATAAGCATAAATTTTGAATGCTAGGGATTAAGTTTAATTTCACAATGATCCAGAACAATTGCTATATCATTTAATTCACTGAAATTAGTCTCTGCAGCACCAGAAATGGATGCAGAGCCCAGAGTGAATCATATTTTGCATATCTCTACCCCAGGCTTCAGCATGCTTTCATCAGTTGGACTGTACAGCAGAAAGAACAAAAAAGAGGTATGGCATGAAAGATTATGAGAATTTTTTTCAGGTCCAGAAGCTCATCTAAGATCACAATACCTTCCCGGTCACCTTCTCAGATTAGGATAACCCATTCTTTGTTGGCATTCAGTTCAGTATTTAAGATCATTCTTTTCTGAAGATTCTTTGGGAAGG